GTTAGTCCCGATGTAGTCACCGGCGTTTCGGTGGCCGTCGTGACTAGAGAAGCGGACGTAACCGGAGTTACCTCCGTGATAGGTGTTTTCTCCTCCTTCCCACTCATGACTGCCGTCAGATTTGGGATGATAGAGAAAGGTGGATTCCTAACAAAATGTTGGATCCCCAGGCATTCGAAATAACTCCACGTTTGATTCAAAGCAAGGTTTATTTCAAAGCGATGGTTCAGACAGGAACAAGGACATTGTTAGGAATGACTACCAATACACAGGTATAGCATAATAAAGGGATTTGAACCATGTTGGGCCAATGAGGCCATTTCCCGCTGGCGGGAATAGAACTCGTAAACGCGCGCCTATTCCATGGGAACGTAACAGTTCAGTACCATCAACACAGGTTTAGTTCACAGGGTCGATAACCATAACAAGCTTAGCGAAGCTCCTACTCCCACCACCAGCTGCACCACCAGCTGCATGACCTTGGCCAGTTCCGCAAAATACAGGGAAGCATAATGAAGCTACAGAAACCCGGGAGGGGGGGGAAGAGCACCAGACATGCATAGCAGGTAACATCAGATACAATGGCAGCTAGCTGACACACTGGAGCGATGATCTTGCTAAGCAAACTCCTCAGGTCCTCTTTTGCTGCTTCAGGAACTCCCTGGAACCTGAGAATCATATTGCCTTTTTCCATCTGTAGTTGCAGTACACGGTTTCCTTGAAGATTTTGTTTTGTTTCCACCTCTCCCAGTCTTTTCTTCAACTTCTTACTTGTGGTGTCCATCTCTTGAATTTTCTCATTAGCCTGCTCCACTTTCTTTTCCGTTTCATTCAGCTGGAGCTGCTGAGATGCAAAGTTCTTATTCATCACAGTCAGTTGCTGGTTAATACCATCGAGTTGTTCCATCACCGGCTTCAGCATATCCACTAGTAGTTTAATGACGTCTGCACCCTCTTCCGGCAGTTTCATTTTTAACTTTGCACGCTGGGTCGCTATTTTTCTGATTTGTTTACACTTCCCACCGCTCTCTCCCGACTCAAGAAACTCGCTCACGATGTCAAAAATCAAGTAAGTCTCTCACAACACACACACTACTTTCCTCCCCTCTTTCCCCCTTTGCGCCATTGCATAAGAGGCGTCCCTCTTTGCATCCGCTTCTTCCCGCACGGGGGGGGGGGGATCCGCTTTTTTTAAAAAAAAACAATTTTTATTTAAGATATCATCACTCAAATTCAACATTTGTAATACATTTTCATCCTACTGGGGATCCGCTTTTTTTTTAAAGTCCGTTTTATTTAGAACTCACGTTCATTGTCAGTCAGATTCTCTGACCACGCTGCCTGGGGGAGGTTGGGGCTGGTCCTGGTCCTCTCTGCCTCCCCAGGGTCGGTGGGTACCATCTCCGATATGCAAACTGGGGGTGAAGGGCCCCCCCCCAACTCTGGACAAAAGCATACTCTTGATTGTATTACTCATGCATCAAGTTTATACAGAAAATGCATGTATAAAAGACTTCTGCAGAAGGTGTTCCAAAGATGTGCTTTCCCATCTGAAGACTTGCCAAGACTGCATGACTGTATTTGTGCGGGCTGTTGGTAACCAACGAGTGGCCAGTATTTGGTAGGGGATATTTCACTGAGATTTTTTTAATGAGGCTGAGGCTTTGTGAAGTGTTAGATACTGGGTTCTAGACGCACTGCAGTGATCAGCTCTGGTTTACTAAGTGATTTCAGCAAACTACAAGACAAGCTAGCAGGGCTTGAGCCCTGCTTGTAAGCATGCAAAACACCACACCCAACACACACACACTCCAAGTGACAGGCTATTTACATTACACTGCTTATCTATTGGTTCTAGAGACGCAAGCTCAGCCCGTTCTAGGTACAGCTAGAGGAAAGGCTCAATACATAACAAAGTATTATTCAAAAAGCTATTTATGGCCCTGGTCACACGGCAAAGTTGCCGCGGGAGAGGCGCGGATGGTGGGCGGATTATCCGGGTGCGATCACACCCCAACATCTGGGAAGTGGAGCGCACCCGTGGCTTACCACCGACAATGCGTGTTAAAAAACTAGTACCTCCAAGGTACTAGTAAACATTTGCCACGGGCTGCCTCCAGACGCCCGTGATGTGATCGCGCTGGCATGTGGCTTTCCCCTCTGGTCCGTTTACCCGCTGGCGCCAAGGACCCATGGTGTGCCGCCGGCGCGTCTGAACTCGTTCTTTGAACTGAATGCCCCCCCCCCCCCCCCCCCCCGCGATATCTGGCCCGTGTGACCGGGGCCAAAGTTTATTAAATATTTATACCCCACTTTTCTCCCCAATAGGGGCCAAAAGCAGCTTATATTATTCTCTTCTACTCCATTTTATCTTCATGACAAGCCCATGAAGTAGGTTACGCTGAGAGCATGTGAATGGTCCAAGGTCACCCACCCAGCAAGCTACCATGGGGCAGTAGAAACTCAAACTGGCTTCTTCCAGATCATAGTTTGACAGTCTAACTACTACACCAACCCCCCCCCCCTTGCCTGAGACATAAATCTTGAACATAAATGGTGCTAAAATTCACCCATGGGGCAGGGACAACTGTAAGATTAAGTGTAGGTAGCAATGTCAATTTCCTCAGAAGGAATCATGTGGAATGTGATCACTTGACTGCAATCTAAATTGGAATAGTGAATGCCTGCCACCTGCAGGCTGAAAAGAAAACTCCAAACCTCACAGAAAAAGCAATGCTGTTGGCCAACCAAGACCAGGTACTTTTATGACCTAGAGTTGCCAGACTCCCCAGTGGAGGGAGGGAGTGCCCTTCCACCAGGCCTTCCCCCCAGCCACAAATCAGCTGGCCAGCAGGGGGACTTACCAGTAGAAAGAATGCCCTGCCACATTGCCCGGGTTGCCCAGGAAGTGACATAATCACACTAGCAACTTCAGGGTGACACTCTGGTATTTGGACAAAAACCTCTATGGGTAGAAGCCTGGTATTAAAGGGGGGTCCATCTTTTTTTTTTTTTTTGAATGAGCTAAGAAGATCAAATCAGTCAATCCTAAAAGAAATCAACCCTGACTGTTCCCTGGAAGGCCAGATAATGAAACTGAAGCTCAAATACTTTGGCCACCAAAGGAGAAGGGAGCACTCACTGGAGGAGAAGACTCTGATGCTGGGAAAGATTGAAGGTCAAAGAAGACGGGGACGGCAAAGGATGAGATGGTTAGACAGTGTCATAGATGCAACGAACATGGAGTTGAGCAAACTTCAGAGGACGGCGGAAGACAGGAGGGCCTGGCGGGAGCTGGTCCATGGGGTCGCAAAGAGTCAGACTCGACTGTGTGACTGAACAACAAAAAAAAACCCTTTTTTTTGAATGAGCTAATTTTATAGGTTACAAGGTATAACCATGTGTGCGTTTTAAGCCTCCTCAAGTAGCTTCTAACTCATGGTGACCTAAGGTTGCCAGGTCCCTTTCACCAACCAGTGGGAGGATGGCGAGGATATTGGAGTGGGAAGTGACATCACCTCCCCATACCCTGAAAACACTGATGTCACATGTGGTGTGCCTGCATCACCCAGAAATGAAGTCAGCACATCTTCAACATCGGGGCGACACTCTGGCTTTTGGGCAAAACTCTATGGTAAAATCAGCATCAAACCATAGAGTTTTGCCCAAAAGCCAGAGTGCCACCACCTGAGATCGCTCATGTGCCAATGCTGCTTCTAGGTGACTTACACCATAGAGAACATCGGTTAGGGGGGGGGGGGGGGGATTGCCTCCAGCAGGAGCCCACAAATTGAGGAATCCATCCACCCAACAGTGCAACTGGCAACCCTATGGTGACCCTATGAATTAGTGTCCTCCAAAACGTCCTCTCATTTACAGCCTTGCTCAGATCTTGCAAACTGATGGTTGTGACTCCTTTGATCGAGCCAATCTGTCTCGTGTTGGGTCTTCCTGTTTTTCTACCGCCTTCGATTTTTCCTTGCTTTGTTTTGCCAGTAGTGACACCTTCTCATAATGTGACCAAAGTACAAGAGCCTCCATGTAGTCATTTTCAGCTTCCGAGGAATACTAGTTCATAGGAGAACCAAACCACCTCCTCCCTCCAAAATGCTTTCCTAGCCTGTCCAACACCCCCCTTGAAACTCTGCGCTATTATTATTCGTCCTTGCGTCACAAGCTAAACAAGACGTCCTCCACAAAGCATCATGGGATTTGTAGTTTCCACGCCGCGGAGCCAGAAAACTGACAGACCCGTGACGATAAAAGAGCCGGTGTAATTTTTAAAAATGTTAACCTCCCTTTTTAAAATGACTTCTGATATAAACGCCACAGTCCAATCCCAGCCACCTTTCCTCATAACGTCCACAGTAAATCTTCAATAAACTCCCCCCCCTGTTTATATCCCCCCGCCGCCCTCCTTATCTCCAAACCAAGGAGCCGGAAGTGACCTCGCAGAGAGGGGGCGGGGCCTCCAGCGGCCCCAACGCGGAAGTGGTCCGTGAGGGGAAAGGGAGGTGAGCGAAGTCCAGCTTTGGGGCTGCCGCGGCTGTTGCGTCGTGCAGGTCCGCGCGGCGACTGTGGGCGGGGCTGAGGCTGTGAGGCGCGCGAGGAGGGGGCCCCACCAACCGTCGCTGCCTCCTCCACGCCCCCCGCCTGCCCCCATCCCGGGGTCCCTGCCATGAATGTGGACGTGGAGTTTCATATTCGCCACAACTACCCTTGGGCCCGCCTCCCCGCCAGCGTCAAACAGGTACTGAGTGGCTGATTGACCCTTCCCGGCGCCTGTAAACAACGCGCCTTCCCCCCCATGTGGTGAGACAGGTGTTGACCCCTGTGGCGTCCCGTAGTCAGGTTTCTCTTGTTGGCCCCCTAAGGGCAGTTTCTGTTCCTCTTTTCCCAGGTGGAGCTTCTTGCTGCTGCCTCCCCACCCCGTCCCGCACTGAGTGCGTGTTTCTCAAACTTTACGAATTATTTTTTCCCTCCCTCTCTCTTATAATCTAAACTTGTGCTACTTTACTGGCCAGCCAGGTGGGTGACTAGGAGGTTCCCTTGCATGTCAGTTATGTGCTGATGGAGAGGTGGAGAAGCAGCACTGTGAGAACAACAGGGATGTTGGAGCAACTTGGAGACTTAACAAGTGTCTCAATGTTAGATTCGAATCCAATAGTACCTTAGAGACCAGCAAGAGTTTCAGAATATGAGCTTTGACTCTTGGCAGCTTGTACCCTGAAACGCTTGTTGATTCCATAATAACATAAGAGAAGCCAATGTTGGATCAGGCCAGTGGCCCATCCAGTCCAACACTCTGTCACACAGTGGCCAAAAATACCAGGTGCCATCAAGAGGTCCAGCAATGGGGCCAGGACATTAGAAGCCCTCCCACTGTTGACCCACACACACACACACGACACCAAGAATACAGAGCATCACTTGCCCCAGACTGAGAGTTCCTATCTATACCTTTAGACAGAAGAAATACATCTGCAGTGGGGGGGTGGGGGGGTTTCCTGGATTCACCAACTCACACAAAGCCACCAGCTCGTGGGGAAAGACTCACATTGTTCAGTCCAAATACTTGTAACAGCAGGAGGAAAAGCTCAACCAGAGCTAATTCAGCCTGAACCTTCCTTCCTTCTCTTTTTGGGTGACCTTGGGCTAATCACTTTCCCTTAGCTGAACATCCTGCACAGGGTTGTTGTGAGGTTAAAATGGAGGAAAGGCAAACTGAGCATGCCACCCTGAGCTTGGAGGAAAAGTGAGATTAAAAAAGGTACTAAATATAAATAGTCTGTTGATGCCTAGTGAGATGGAACTATTGGATGCATAGGACAAAATGCACAACCCACAAAAGCCTATGCTGGAATTAAAAGGTTGTCAGTCTGTAAGGCTCCTTGAAGTTAACTGAGGTGTCTCTTACACCAACCACACCATCATTCATTGAACCTACTGTTGTCTACTCTGACAGTCTGGTGATCTCTAAGGTCTCTGGAAAAGCTTCTTTCCCAACTTTGCTACTTGAGATCCTTTTAACTGCAGTTACTGGGGTTTGGCTTCATGTCTTCACTGTTGACTTGTGCCCCACTCCCCCTTTCGTGATGCTCTCCCTTCTTCCCCTTCCTAAAGCAACATACAGGTTGTATGGGATCCCACTGGGATTAATGGGGCCAAGATGCGTTGACTTTTGGAAGTCCAGTCTGGGAACACTAAATTTCTGCTATACCAGGGAGCACTGATTCTACCTAGGCCTGGCTTCACAAGTAAGAAAAGCACATCTGCCTCGCAATCCTATCCTTTCTGGACTTTTCCCCTTCCCCCACAGATGATGCATAGCTCCCAAGGGGGTGTGTCCTACAGTTTGAAAGTCATTGTGAGTTTGCTGGTCACCTGTATCTCCCTTTCACACTGTTTGAAGAGGAACAGATCGTGATTTCCCACCTCTCTTTCTGCCTCCGTCACATGCTCCTCACTGTGTCATGGAAGTATGTTGGGTGACCTTGGGCCTGTCACACTCTAACCTACTTTTCAAGGTTGTTGTGAAGATAAAATGGAGAAGAGAGCACTGTCAGTTTTGTTGTGTCGCCGTGGTAGAGAAAGAGGAGGTATAGTAAATGCATAAATATACTGGGTTAAGAAGGTGTTTAAGTGCATGAAATATTGCCAGGGTCCCCACTGTGGTACCCATGAAATCGTGTTCTTTTTCCTCACTTCTATCAGTTGTATATTAAAATCAAGATACTTAGGCAGCAAATACAGTTGGGGGTATGCACAAAGTTGGTGTAGATATGAGAGATTTTTTTGCAGTGGATTTTCAGACCTGGGTCTGCAATGGAGAAGGTCATTGTAAATGAAAAGCATGTAATGTTAATGCTACATATAATAAGCTTGTGTTCTTATATATGAAAAGCAACTGTGTCTAATCAGGAAATAGCATCTTTGCTGATCATGAGTGCTGTAGTGAAGTGAACAAAAGATAATAACCCTGTGTAGTAGTTAGTTGGAGAAGTGCTAGGTAGACTTGGCTTAATTATCCATAGAAGCAAGAAAGCACTGTTTATATCATTGTAAACCACACTGGATTAATTTCATCCTGGATCTAAGGCCAGGCAGCTAATTGAAGCTCTTCTGTTACCTTTTAGTTCAGTTTTCAGGTAGACTGTAAAGTTACCTGGCAGTTGTTAGGTAAACTACTTTTAAACTTCTTTCAAGTTTTGTATCATGTGTTTGGTCCATTAGCCTTTTGTAATAGCAAGGTTGCAGTCCTAAACACACTAATTTAGTTTGGAAGCAAATACCATAAAGATAAGTGATGCTTGTGGATCCAATGTCCAGCATCAGGGAGTTAAATCTGTTTTTTAAAAACTTCCTAGTGGCGTGCATTGTATGCCGTTTTCTGCAATTTGACCAAACTAGTGTGTTTTGTTCCATAGGGTCTTGGAAACTCGCAGCGAGAATATGAAAAGCAGGTTGTACTCTATAGTATCCGCAATCAACTACGGTACCGGAATAACTTAGGTGAGTACAGAAATAAAAAATTAAGGCCAGGAGAACATTTTTGAAAATGAACGCTGCTTGCCTTAACAAATGCATATGGGTACATCCTCCACACAATTTTAAAGAGAGCTTACAAAATGGGCTGGCTTATGTGAACAACAAGGGGAAAGAGGAATGGAGAACTGTTGTGCTCCACTAGAACTGTGCCCAGAAAGTGCATGTGACGCTGGCATTCGTAAGCTACCTTGAACTTCAGTAAGGTGCATACATTTAAAAATAATTACAGTGGGAAATCAGATTTAGAAGTCGTAAACCTCAGAACGAGTACCAGTGTTAGGAAGCAGCATCAAGGGAAAGCCTTTGTGACCTGTTTGTTGGTCTCCAGAGGCAAATAGTTTGGCTTCTGTGTAAAACTAGATGCTGGATGGGGAGAGCCTGTGGCTCAGTGGAAGAGCCTCGGCTTTGAACACAGACAGTCCCAGCTTCAATCCCCAACATCTACAGTTGAAAAGACCGGGTAGGGGGATGACATGAAAGGCCCTTGCCTGAGATCCTGGAGAGCCACTGACAATCTGAGGCCCCGGTCACATGGGCCGGATAACGCAGGGGGAAGGCGTGGCTATTTGCGCCGTCGCAGTTTGCTCCGCGATTAAGCGATCAGACACGACGGTGGTGCAGCGGGGTTTCGGCAGTCGGCGCCCGCAGCAAAGATGACGGCCGGAGGGAAGAGCCGCGCGCCGGCGCGATCACACCAACCACATCCGTCAGCAGCCCGTGGCAAACCAGTTGCTAGTACTTGTTAGCAGGTAGTTTTTAACTGCGGGTTTTCAGCGGAAAACCACGGGTGCGCTACGCTTGCCAGATGTGGTGGTGTGATCGCGCATGGATAATCCGCCTGGCATCCGTGGTTCTCCCGTGGCAAATTTGTTGTGTGACCGGGGCCAAAGTAGACCACACTGCTCTTGATGGCCCAACACTGATCTTGATAGGCCAATGCTGATACATGGAGAATGCACCAGATCCCTCCCTCTGCAAATGGACTTTGTTTGCACTGGGGCCTTGCCAAGCTTTGGCTGGCTTCCCGCAAAAATCTAAACATTCTAAGCAAATTACAGTGCAGCATTCTAATAGGTCTCTTCTTTTCCAGTTAAGCACGTCAAGAAAGATGAACGCAGGTACTATGAGGAACTGTTAAAATATAGTAGAGATCATCTCATATTATACCCCTACCACTTGTCTGATATCATGGTGAAAGGCCTGAGGATAACGCCCTTTTCATACTACACAGGAATAATGGAGGTGAGTGTGAAGAAAAATACTGAAACACGGCACATTGACTCTCGCGAGGCAGTTCATGCCACTGCGATGGAACATAATGCCTGTCAGCCGGAGTCATGTGTCTGTTATTGTTAGCTTTTTGCCAAGCTGCTGCTGGTAATAAGACACAAGAAAGACAGTCTCCCTGCGGCTGCACAGATAGTTGCAGTTTGGGCTCGCAGCCAAATTATCCTTCAAGTGTAACTGATGGAAGTGGTAAAAAATACTCGCGTTTCATCCGGTGGGAAGGATGTTGTTGAATGTGGTGTAGAATACATCGACCTATAACTGCAGTTAGTCCCCAGTATGTTTTTAAATGATGTTTTGCTACTGAGTTCCATTAATTAGAATAAGTAATCTGTGCTTGCCCTGGCCTGTGTAGCCCAGGCTAGCCCGATCTCACCAGATCTCAGGTGCTAAGCAGGCTCTGGCCCCAGTTAGTATTTGGATGGGAGATCGGCAGGGAAGTCCAAAGTTGCTACACAGAAGCAGGCAATAGCAAACCACCTCTGATCCTCTCTTGCCACGAAACCTCTAGGAATCGCCAGAAGTTAGCTGTGAATAGACAGCAATGTTTTTTTAAATGATGCTTTCCATCATGTGGATATATGCATTAATGCAACAGAGCATACAGTGACTTGTGCGCCACAGTAGTTGCTACAAAATCATTTTGCAAAGGAGGGTGTCGGTGGTTATTTACTGCCATGCTTGTATTCCACTCTACCTGTAAGGTGCTTCAAGGTAGCAATTCCTCTCCGTCTCTCACTCCCCATATGCGTTTCTATCGTAGGCTGTTTCTGTCCTATGGGTTGCTTCAGGCTAGACTTATGCCTGTTCGTTGGTTGAAAAATTGGTCTCTTTCATTATATCCAAAAAGTCTTCAGTCCTTCCCTGCTTTCTTATGTTTTGCCATAGTATAGCTGGTGTTAGCTGTTCCAAGTGCTGTGGCATCTAATATGAGTGACAATATTTAGTGTAGTCCTTAATTTAGAGGACTCCCTGGGTGGGGTGGGGTGATTAGCATGCCAAACGTGGTTTAGGGAGACCTGGGTTCCGATCCCAGTGAAGGTATGAAGCTCGCTGAGTGGCCTTTGACCAGTCTACCGCTCTCTTTATTATACGGTGCAGTGTATTTCTGAGGATGATGAGATAGCGAAGGACCTATGTAGACTTCCTTGGACCAAGGGCCAGGTGAAGAATAAGAAATCATACAGAATAGCTTTCAAATATGTAGCATGAAGATTGTTAGGGTCACCCCGTTTTACAGCCTGTGACTCTCCATCTGAGTCTGATGGCCCGAGGTGCTCATGGAGCTCCACAGTTACTCTTTTATTCTCCTCCACCCCTATGCATTTTATTGGGGGGAGTGACTCCACAGTATGCATGACTTGCCTGTGCAGATTGCCTCCTTCATATGAAATTAAAGTGATATCTGATGCACACTTCTAGATCAAGCTGCTCTCTAAAGTCAGTGTTATTTTTTTGTTAACAGGTGTGCTTCTAACTCTAGGTTCTGCATTTGGCTGAGGAAATATCAATTAATAGCAGAAATGTATAGAGATTTAAACAGGAAAAAAGCCTCTGAGGAACTAGATGTCAGGTGCAAAAATAGTTCTGTGTTTTTACTGACGTAAAAAAATCACTGTGTGCTTATGAAATAAGGGGCTGCAGTGATTGGAAGAGGGTAGGGGCTGTGGTTCAGTGGCGGAACATATGTTTGGCATGCAGAACATCCAAGTGAAAGCAGCCTTATTAAGAAAGACCTTTATCTGAGACCCTGGATGACCACTGGCAGTCAAAGCAGATAGTACTGATCTGTATGGACCAATGGACTGATTCAGTATAAAATACCTTCAAAATGTATATATAGCAATGTAACTTTCCCCCTCTTTCTTTATAAAGGACATAATGAACAGTGAAAAAAGCTATGATTCGTTGCCCAATTTCACTGCTGCAGACTGTAGGTGTGTGATTTTTTTCCCTACAAGCTGAATACATGTCTATTAAATAAAACACCTTCCTAGTTTCCTACTTAGTTTCAAAAGTACACCTGTGTGAGAGTTTTGAAGTCACTATACTTGTTAATATGACTTTTGAGATAGGGTAAAATGCATGGTGTTTAAAAGCAAGTGAGAGGAAAACTCTTGAGAACTAAACATGGAAACGACTGAAGAAATAACGCAGCACTCCACAAGTCAAGTTTACATCTTTTGAATAATTTTTCCAAAATATAAGCGACAATAATATGCCTACATAGAGATATTGAGCTGGAAAGATCTTCAAAGGTCATTTAGTCCAATCTCTGCACATTACAGACCAACACATTGACTTTTGGCAAATATATTTATTTGGATTATATCTACCCCACCATTCTAATAAGATACTCTAGCACAGATGGATCCAACCCTATATATTTGAAAGTACCCCCCCCCAAAAAAAAAACAAAAAAACCACCAACCACAGGCACCTGCATTAGTAGACAGAAATGCCAGTAAGTTCACAATTCAGGCAGCGGTAAAGGTCAAAGAAGAAGTCAGCAAGATCAACACCATTTCAGGGGATTCTGTGGAATAACACTGTTTCAGAGGATCTCTAGAATGTCAAAAATTAGGGGACAAGGTGGATTTTTTACAGCAAGATGTTCCAAGGTCTTGGGGCCAAAGCCAAAAAAGCCCTGTTATTCATGCCTGTATCAGTTAGTGTAGATATGTGGAGCAGGGCAGTCAATTGTAGGTCACAGGCTTTGTATGTCTGGAAGGTCTCTGTGCAGCAGCTATTGAAGCAAATGCTAGCTATGTAGAATAACTTCTTAATTCACCAAGAAGGACATTCAGTTTTCTGAATTTTTGACCACTACGAAATTCTACCTGGAAGAAGAGACGGTTCCTCCTTAGGCTGGAGGAATGTCCTTCTGCTTAACAAGTCAAGTAGTTCATCCATTGAAGAAAGCCTCCTTAGTTGGAGGAAGGCTAACTTTGGATGCTACTGTGGGAAATTGTAGGTGTTTACAAACTTTGCTCAGTGAAGGATAGTGGTAGGATTAATGCCAGTATTAACTTCTGCTGGTCTTGTCAAAGACTGCTGCCTGTATTGCTTTCTTCCACCTGGGTTTTGGCCACTGTGTGACACAGAGTGTTGGACTGGATGGGCCATTGGCCTGATCCAACATGGCTTCTCTTACGTTCTTATGTTCTTAATATTTACTGGCATTTCTGTCTGCTACTGCAAATACCTGTGGGTGGGTGTTCCATTGCAATAAATGCAGATTCTGGATTCCAAGTCCATATTTCTAGGACAGTCTTTATTGCTTGACATTTTAAAACTGTGAAAGACTTCTGCAGTTCTCTTGTAGAATCCGATACTGTTCTATACAGGAGTGCCAGTCAGATTAAGTTTCTAGGCATCCTTCTGAATCATGGGGGTGAAGTTTATTACCAAGACTAGGTGCTGAAAATTTATGATGAGTTTGATAGGTATGGCTTATTTGTAGCCTTGTAATACAGTTGAGGGAACTTGTGAAATATTTGCAAGTGAATGTATTTTAATGTTGTTTCTAGTGTTTTTTGGGAAAAGATTCCTATTTATTCATAAGAGCAAAAGATGGAAACAGCGTTAGTACATTATATTCCTGTGTCCCAGAACAGTTTTACAAGTCTAATTTAATTTTTTTCAGGTCTAAGACTTCTTGGCATAGGAAGAAACCAGTACATTGATCTAATGAACCAGTGTCGATCATCAAAAGTATGTGTTCGATTGTGTTCACTCTGCCTTTCTCCATCTGGTCTAAAACTGACAATCTAGCAGTGCACAACATTATTTAAAAGCAGTGGGATGGGTAAAAATGCAGATTTTAATACTAAACACAACATCGTTTTATGCCTGCTGGTATTGAGTTCAGCAGAGATGCAGCCAATTTAGAAGGCTTTGCAGCACTTCTGAAAGAGTTGGGTCACTTAGTCCATAATACAGAGAACAATCTATGCTAAAACCACTCATATAAGATGTATAGCCAGACTTTCTTAAAAACTTAGAAGGAGCATTCACAAGCTGTTACTAGGCTTCGATGAGCAAGAATTTAGCTTTATGGGATTAGCAACGTAGGACAGGTCTCTTTGACATGAATACAGATGGCTGACGACCAAGTGTTGGCTTGCCATTGGGTTCAGCTGGTCATCCGTAGCCTCCTGCCAAGTGGTATGGGGGATCTTTCTGCTGTTCTGATTTCCCCAGGATTCTGATGACGTCTGGTAACGTCCTGCTTGGCATATTAGGTGACCACCTTCCCCTATGGTTCTCATGCATGCTGAGGTAAACATAGGGGAATTTCACATTACTCAGTTTCACCCGGTTTCAAGCCTGCAATCATCCGTTTTGAAGTGAACCGGTACAGGGCTGCCACTTCACACAGGGCTTGCCCCTACCAGAAATGAGCCGGATCAGAAGCGGTTTGGCATTTCAGACTTGCATCGCTTTGTTTTCCCGCGGTTTTCCTCCCGCGCGGGTAATCGGGTTTTTTTTAAAAAAACGTTCAATTTATAGCGCTATAGCAGTATAACAAAACACTCCATGCATTCCAATGGGATTGATATAATGCTATTCCGTTATAGCGTTATAGCACTATAACGCTATAAATCGAACGTTAAAAAAAAAACCCAGGAAAAAAGCTTATCGGAACCAGGAGAGGGCACTGGAGAACACTTGGAAGTGGATGAGAGGTAAAACGCTTCAGTCCCGGTTCCTAAACGGGACTGAAGCGTTTGTGTATGAAATGGCAAAGAGATTCCAGAAGGGAACCGGTTCTCAAACGGGTTCTGTCTGAAATGACAGACCAGAACCTGTTTGAGAACCGGTTCCCTTCCGGAATCTATCGCCTGTCTGAAATTCCCCATAGAATTTCACAGAAGTTCCTCTGTATTCACTCACTGCATCATTACTACATATAGTTGATACATAATATTCTCTAACCTCCAGGCTGGACTGCTGTAGCATACTCTTTACGAGAATGCCGTTGAAGACTGTCCAGAAGGTTCAGCTGGTTCAAAACGGCAGCTGCTTGTTCATTAACAAGGAAGAGCTGTTTCCATCAGAATACATCACTCTTAAAGCAGTTTTGTGGGCTCCCTGTTTGTTTCCAGGTCCAGTTCAGGCCACAGATTCATAATTGAAAGCTGTTCAGGGCCGTTTCTCCCCGTATGAGACCTCACCCCAGTTAGACTGCAAACATCCGCATTTGTTAGTACCACCTCTCAGGGGTGGTGCTGTTTGCCAGCAGCCACTCATATGTCTTTCCCAGCTCTGTTGTTATGGAATGAGCTCTCTCCAGAAAGCTGTAGGATTCTATCCCTGAAGGCCTTTAGAAGGACCGTGGAGGTCTTTTTTTTTTAATTGGAAAGAACATTTGTGACATTTCATCTTGTTTCACCTAATGAATCTAATGTAAGATATCTTTAACTGACTTGTTGCTGTGACTCGATGGGTTTTGTGTGAGAGGTTTTGTTCTCTGCTTGTTTCTTTTTTAATTAGTCTGGTTTAGCCACCTTGAGCTCCTAGGAGGAAAACTGGGCTATAAATGTTTTTATTTTTAATTAAATAACTATACCAAGTTTGCAGATTGTGATGGTATCTGATGGAGGAAGCAGTCTCATTGGAATGCTGGGCGCAAGACACTGAGGAATTTATAGATCAAAACCGCCTCTTGTGATTGTGTCTGGAGACTTACAGGGTGTCAGCACAGCTGTGGAGTGTTGCTGTGATAAGCGGCTGGCATCCAGTTTATATTTGGAGCCAGGCATTCAGTCATCGCATCCCAACTCCTGAGTGCTTTGCATGACATGCCTTCAAGTTTCAGAAGTACGATGTCCGCTACAGTTCAAGGAGCCTCTTCAGATACATTTAATAATTTCTGGTCGCTTTCTTTTGTGAAGCTGAAGCATAGTGCAACCAATCATATTCTGGTCATTTTAAACAGACGAGTTCTGTAAAATGCACTGGAGAAATGTGTAACATTTCCCAGAGATCATTTTGGGAGTTAATGTTAAAAATTGGGAGCTGTCTTCTTTTACCAGGACCCAGTGTGGTTTTTTTCTTTTCTCTTCTGGGTTTCGGTGCCCCAGTTTTCTCCATTCAGGAATATATGTTCTTGTAAGATAGTAAATGGGTTGCTTCCCTGTTGTTTTTTGACATGTGCAATTTCAAATGGATTGTACCACTCCAGAAATTTTTCAGAAGGAAGTCCGCTCGTGATCTGCTGCCCATGAAGCCAGTGGAAATTGCCATAGAGGCTTGGTGGGTGGTACAAGCTGGCTACATAACTGAGGACGACATAAAGGTATTTTGTAGTTTCCAAATTTACTTAAAACCTGAACTTTGAGTGCACGCTCTGGTTAAGTTTACAGAAACGTTATTGTAGCAGGTACAGTTTGACACAGTGACTTTACAGTTATGGCCACTTTTCCTGGTTTGGTTCAATTGCTGTATGGATTGTGTCTGTAACATTAGCTGTTGCAGCCAAAAACGTGGTCTGAAGATGCTGTTGAATTGCCCAGCTTTTTGCTAGTGCAAACGAGAATCTCTGGTTAGCAGATAGGGTTAGTCCCTTGACCTAAATTGGGTCCCCAGTAACACGTATCCAAAGGTGTACCACTTCTGAATACGCATGTTCCTTTCCATTGTAGATAGGACATGGCTTTGTGGTAGAGCATCTGCTTGGCATGCAGAAGGTCCCAGGTTCAGTCCCCACCATCTCCAGTTAACTGGCAGTAGGTGATGTGAGACATCTTTTGCCTAAGACCCGGGAGAGCTGCTGCTAGTCTGAGTAGACAATATTGATTTTGATGGCCCAAAGGTCTGATTCAGTACAAGGCAGCTTCATGGCTGTCCTCTGTGAATTTGTGTGCTACTGTTAAAACCATCAAAGCTACTAGCCGCTGACCACATCACATGGGAAATCCCATAAACTAGTGAAGCATTGTATGAAGAAGTGCTTTGTTTTTGTTTTTTGGGTAAACAAATTTTATTTTCTTAGGAATTCAACATTTAAAATTAAACCATTTCATCCTTTCCATTGTCTACCCCATTCCCATTTCCTCCCCTCCCTCCAATGGCTTCCCGCAATGCTTCCCCCCCCCACTCCACATTACTTTACATCATCAATTATATCATTTTCTTGTCATTACAATCTCAAGATAACATCATTTGACTTAATATTGCTCTAAACATAAGAAGTGCTTTGTTTTTGGTGCAGTCCTAAAAGCACATTCATGGGAGTAAGCCCCACTGAATAAAGTGGGGTTTTGTTCTAAGTATGCCTGTCTAGGACTGTATCTTTGTTCTGAACCCATTCCCAATCAAATCCATTGGGTAGTCTTGAGTCATAGTTCTGTGAGAGTGGGGGGGTGGGATCTTTCAGCAATGAAACTTCATTTTAATATTTATTTTCTGCTACCCTGGCTCAGCAATAGGCTCTCACAGTGGGTTTAAAAGGAGAGCCTGCGATTTAAAAAAACAAAAAAGGTCATATGCAAGTATGATTTATTATCAACACTTTTCTCTCTAGATTTGCACTACCTCTGAAAAATCCGCTATTGATAAAATCATTGACTCAGGCCCTCAGCTTGCTGGATCCCTGGACTACAACATAGTTCACAGTGAGTCTTTGTTTCCTACCAGAAGGGCTGGGCTCATGTGAGGCTAGTGGAACTTGTGTTTGTGGGTTTTCTTTGTCCTGTGGATCGCCTTCTGCTCCATAACATAGCACAACCTCTGTTTCAAAAGCAGAGTACCATGCACTATTTGTGCTTGTATACATGTGTGCGTGAGTGAGAGGAAGGACGAGGGACACCATTTTTTTTGCTCTTTGGGAGGACCTGCTACTAAGGCTTGTATATAAAGAGCAAGAGAACCATGCCACTTGCCTGTCTTTGCACAGACACGAAGAGAAGCAGCAGAGCGGCAAGGTGAAGTGGGAGAGGATTCCTTTTTAGCATAGGCAGGATCAGCAACTCAGTTTCTTTCCTTCCTATCTCATAACTCTAATGTCACATGCTTCAAGCTCCATGGGTCCCTGTTGCTGGCTGGGCCAGTTAAAGGTGTGTCCCAGGTCTTTAAAGATTAAAGGCCACTATACTATGTTCTGTTTGTGAAAATTCTCAATTGGGTGCATGCTGCCAGAGCTACATTTATTTTTCTGCCATGTTTTTAGCTCTCTAAGGGCTTTTCTGCATTCTAATTTTTCTTGCTTGTGTGTGCTGGTTGCTTTGGGTTTCTTCTCTGTTTCACACATGTTTTGCTCCCTCTAGTGGTGAAGTCAATATTACATCACTGTATGTTCGGCATAAAAACTAAATCTTCAGGAAGATATGCCAGACATAAAGAGATGTAATATCAAATCAGCTAGTAGAAGGAGCAAAATAGGTGCAGAACAGAAAAAAAGACGTGTGGGGGGGGGGGGGGGGGGAGAAAAGAAAGAAAAATGAGAATGCGGAAAAGCCCTCATTCGGTATAACGTTGTAATGTTAAGAGTGGTGGTTATGGTGTTCGTACAATGACTTCATTTTCCTTTTTGCAGGCTTGTATAATAAAGGTTTTATTTACCTCGATGTACCCATATCAGATGACAGTTGTATAGCAGGTAAGAAGAGTTCTTGGAAGAGATTTCTGCATTCTGTTGACCACATAGGGCACATTTCAGCACAGAACTCATAAGGAGTCTTGTAGAGGCATCTAGTCCACCCCCTGCTCAGTGCAGGAAATCCAAACCTGGAGCACTTCCATTGCCAAACTACTTTTGTTATTAAGAAGATTTTCCTAATAGTCAGCAGAATACAATGAGTGTGCACATACCCAGTTCAGTCTCTGCCTGCCATCCCCTTTGGTTTCTGTTTCCATTAGCGTATAGAAAAGCCTGCACATCTGTCCATCTCTGTTTCTTGAAGCACTAAGAAGTTAAGAACATAAGAGATGCCAATGTTGGATCAGGCCAAAGGCCCATCCAGCCCAACACCCTGTGTCACACAGGGGCCAGAAATACCAGTGCCATCAGGAGGTCCACCAGTGGGGCCAGGACATTAGAAGCCCTCCC